CATGTGTATATGTATGTGTGCATGTCTGTTCCAAAACTTATCCTCCTCTTTGTTGTCAATGTTATGTTATCGATTCTTATGGTAAACCGTGTTTGAGTTTGACTGAAACGATACGAACCCACTAATATACTTACACCAGATCGTCGTAGGTGATCATGCTTCGGTCAAAGTCTGGAAACCGCCCAAGTCGCTCACGATGGCCTCGCATGTGATCTTTAAAACACGGCAGAATCGTCGACGTGGCGCCGCGCATGAATTCCGCCTGCATGCAGTTTTTCTGTTTCCGGGTGGAGTTAAATTTTGCCTCAAACAGCTGTTGGAGAATGTTCTTGCACAGCGGACATTTGTGAAAACTGGGCGACACTCGGTCGACGAACCGTGAGTAACTGATGACGCATCGGTGGTTCCTGAAAGCAAAATTGGCTAGGGGTTTGAGGCCTGGATTAAGACAGTCAGAAATAACCGAACAGACGCCATCGATTAAACGTTGAAAGCACGAGAGGTAGAAATTGGTACGTAGTACGTTGTAAAGTACGTAATGTTGTAAAGTAGTACGTCGTACTGCGAATAATTTGACTTCTAACGTAAACGTAAAGCAAAGTGAAATTCACTCTCCACACTAACAGTAAGACAACGTTGTCATTGTTCTATGCATTGTCACAACCCACCGTTCTTTCTGACTTTCGAATCAATCATTAGGCTTAAAAGGATTTTACAATGACCGTATTTCTCTGTCAATCGAACAAGCTCTGTAGACAGGATCCAAGGAACGATCACGTGAAAGGATCAATAAACTTGCGCCGTACGCCCTGCATAAGCCCTTGACATCGTACTTCATGCCTTAAAGATGATCCTTATCGATTCAGTCATTTCCCCGGTATCCTGGTCAGCGAACACTGTCGAACAGATAGAACTGAAATATGCAAACCGTTAGATGTGCCTTTTTACACAGTAGCCATTAGAAGAGATTAATCTAGTTTTCGATATTGACAATCAATGTGGCAGCCAAAAATAGCTTGTTGAAAGAAAAGTGATTTGCGCAATCTCCTGAGGCATTGGAATATTTTTTGATTTAAACATGGCGTAAACAGTTACATATTTGTAGACTGTAACGTAAAATTTTATTTTCATATACGAGTCCACTGATCATGCATTTATGGTGTGAACCAAACAAGGAGTTTATTTGGCGGTGCTAAACAGTTTCAAAATATATGCGTCGTCTAGACCACGAATAGCTTCCAGCAAAGCGATCCATGAAACATCCTCAAAATTCAGTGCTACGAACGAGCAGACGGCATACCAGAATGACTGGCCTTCAAAAAGCTATTGGATGAAGTCCGGATGAAATCCTCGATTCTCGCTTGGCTTGACAAAACTGCCTGAAAGAAACTGGAAATGTTTTCAAGACTTTCAAGTCTCCGAGACCCCCGGTGCTCTGCCGTCATGTGACCTGTTGTCACCCGTTCGCACCGTGTCGGAGCTGCTGCCAAGTGGACGATCTGGGCGTGAATTGGTCACACGCAGATCGGTGATTGATCGACGTCGCATCTGTGAAATTGGTTTGTCCAATGAACGCGGACGCGTCTCTCGACTCCCAACCGCCAACAAGTCTCAATTGCCAAATGGTCAGCGCCGTGCTGCCGTAGAACATCCATAGAATTTCTACACACCAAACGTCTCCCATCATCTGATCGTCGCGAAACACCGACGACTCTTCACACCTCTGTGATGGGCGCAATGACAGTTGCAAAGTGTGTCATGCGTTTCTTGAAAACAGCATTAATTTAGTGTTGTGTCAGGGGAGTTATTAATACCCGAAAACAGGGCAGTTTTATTAAGCAGCGATTATTGTGCAGAATTTGACTAATGACTTACCATAATCATTCAAAATCATATTACTTCTGAATACTTGAGCCAAACGTTTGACGCCTAGATTTTCAGGACAGCTAGCTCTAAATTCTAAACGTTTCTATCTGACGTCATGAATCACGTACAGTGATCAGATGAATCGTAAATGCAACTGGCAGCATATGTCCCAGAACTGTTTTTATCATTGTCGATAACCTGTTAACATATGGTATTCGTGCATAAATGTTTCATAAGCTTTGCAACAAACGCGCGAAAACCGCGAACAGTAGACTTTTAAAATTGGAGGCTTTGACCAAAATCGAAAGAACACACGAATCCACGTATGTCGAAGAATTTCCTCTATTAAACATGCTGTTCATGCAAACAGTGATTGAAATCATCTTTAAACAGTTAATTAATTGGAGAAATCCAAAAATTTTGCGATGGCAATACAAATAATTTTGATTAACAAACTTTCGCTTCGTCTAAGATGCCAAATATCAAACTTATGGTTAACCACTGACAGAACTTTCCTAAAAGTTATTAATATGTTGTCTATGTCAGATTTGTTTCTAGTTTTGTTTGTTCTTGTGGTTTCTACCAGAAGAGCCTTCATGCTCCACACGTACCAGCTGCTGCAAATAAAAGAAACACGTCTGAACCCAGTCAGCCAACCTCTGTACCTTAGACAAGGCACGTGAGATACGGGTCAAAGCGTCGGTACTGGTACATCAACCGACTGACCATAATGATCAGCATTTTGTACCAATAAACCGTAAGTTTTATGCCAGTATTATTTACTTGTCTTATTTAATTTAATTTGCGCTTCCATGCTTCTATTTTAATTAAATTTCTTTAAATTTGATGGTAATTTGCATTTTTTCTCGACCTTGTGCAAGCAAAATATTCTGAGCACTTGCAAACAACAAAGAAAAATTTCGACGAAAAATATGAACTTCAACCTAATTTAATTGGCCTGTAAAACTATGGGCATGCATCTTTGACTTGAACTTGAAAAAACAAGCAGAAAGGCGTCGTTCCCGAAAGGTTTCAAGCCGACGGTTACAAAGATGCTGAAAAATGTGTCAGAAGAGAAAATCCGGTTTAAATAGAGCAACGCTTGAGGCTTATTACGATTGGGCACCTGAAGTCAAGACGAACCTCGAAAATAACGGTCCAAGAAATGTGTATGGAAAGAATGCCGAAACTCTGTCATGAGAAATGACAGTACCAACAGTTATTCTGAAGGACGTCTGCGACATACGGATAAAACCATAGTTATCCAAATATCCACTGATGGCAGTTCATTTTCTCTTATGTCATAGGGAGGGCACTTTCAGCTTGTTCAGTCCATGATAGCCAAGGTAAATAAATTTCTCCAAGCACCTCATTGATTCACTCTGAGAGAGGAACATGAGAAGTCGATGCTGAAACATACGGCCTACCGGGTCTGCTGCCTGCAAAACCATTTAAATTTGGAAGGCGTCCTTCGTGTGATCAGTTAGAAATGCGAGTTTCGCTTTAAGTAGAAATTCCTTTGAATGCACAGTTCCAGTCTGATAGCGTGGTAGTACTCTTTATCGCAATAACAGCAGGTGAAACGAAAAGACGTCAAAGCCTTTTGTTGTTTGTGCCACATGGAGATGAATTTTGGAGGTCAACATCTCAGGTCTCTGTCCTGAGGCGTCAGGAAGCACTTTCTGACCACTTTCAATAGCGCTGCGTACGACACATCTTCAAAAGACCATGTATCGAGTAACCGCTGAGACCACCATTTTAAGAATACTGTGTGATTTGTTGCTGGCTCGATGTTTTCGGTGTCCGAATTGGTTTAGTAGAACGGTTCAAAGAGAGAGCAGAAATTTTATAGAGACTTTTTCCCTCGTAATAACCATACTTGATGGCAGACAAGGAGGAAGATAATTGATATTTCACGTGCTCGCAATATTTAGCAGTGTATACTAGCAGGACGTCTCACTGGTCCGTTGTATTCTCAGCCTTTCAACAGTTTTTCTATAAGGTAGTAGTCCCCGAATATACTTCCATTCATGTTGAGCAAATAATTCATCACACTGCGCTTTGACGCAGCCATCCAGTCCAAATATTCTTGTGATTACTGTATGCCATGGCACCGCATAGCAGAATCGAATTTATTAAATAAATAACAGGTAATGGTGATTTATCACTGTTCCATTTGCGCTAAATTATTGATGAAACAAGTCTTTGATTTATGCACAATCATAATGACCGCGAAATCGTAGAGGACTTCTATGAAAAATTGAGCACTATTGACCTAGATCCAATTTTCCATTCCGTTATCGCAAAATTTAGACACTGGCGCCGCCTTCCTTCAATAAAAATGCTTATTTTAATAAGAGCGCCTCCTCGTACGCGTTGCGCATAAAATGAGTACAACGGATCCTGTTTCAAGCAGATAATAAGTTAAAGTACTGCAAGTACATCAGAGTATTAGAGTACTTTAGTCATTGTGAACAGAAATTAATTGGAAATCTTCAACAATTCACTGGAAAGTTAAAACCATGTTGGCGGTTCTATTAGTAGTTTTATAACTGTATGATCCTATGTCCGAAATCAGAATTAACCATTTCGACTTCCGCATCATTAAAATTTGGTTATGATAACAATGCGATTTTGCACCCGTGCACTACGGTTGCTAAAATACCATGAAGCCATAGCTGGCCGCCTCCTCAAACGGTTCCATTGGTAACAAAAAAGGAGCGATACATTAGCGCCAAACGAATCTGGAAGATAAGAAACGAAAACAAAAAAAGTTAAATATAAAATT